CCCAATTTGGACATTTTCACTTAGGGGTGTACTCACTTTTGTGGCCAGCGGTTTAGACATTAATGGCTGTGTGTTGAGTTATTTTGAGGGGACAGCAAATTTACACTGTTATACAAGCTGTACACTCACTACTTTACATTGTAGCAAAGAGTCATTTCTTCAGTGTTGTCACATGAAAAGATATAATAAAATATTTACAAAAAGGTGAGGGGTGTACTCACTTCTGTGAGATACTGTATATCTCCATTCTACCCCCTCTGTGAGCTGTGCAGCCCAGTTGAGTAACTCTACACTACAGGACTCTACATTGCTGTCAGCAGAACTAGTCTACTGAACTCTAGATAATACAACAATAGAAGTTCATGTTTAAGCAATAAAATATGAGACGCCATGCTATAATCGAGGCTAAAGAGTGTAGTTAAACAACACATAACCTGCAACCCATTTAACTGCGACTAAAACAATAAATAACTGATTGCTTTTCTAAAACATTAGGTCTGTCACTTAATAAAATATATAGGACTTATATTTAATAGATGTTATTTTATTAAGGAATAGTTCACTCAAAAATGAAAATCTGCTGAAAATGTTCTCGCCCTCAGGCCATCGGAATAGATTTGGAGTAATTTAGCATTACATCACTTAAATGGGATGCTCTGCAGCAAATGGGTGCCATCATAATGAGTAATATTATGCAGAGAGGACTTGAATTTTAGCCAGAAACAATGGTTTGAAGTTAAAAATGTCTAAATTATGGATTTGTTTACAAATATGCAACTTTTCACTTCACAAGATGCTAACTGATGGACTGGATTAGTGTGGATTACTGTGATGTTTTTATCAGCTGTTTGAACTCTCATTCTGACGGCACCCATTCACTGCAGAGGATCCTTTGGTGAGCAAGTGGTTAAATACTGAATTTCTCATCGGTTCTGATGAAGAAACCAATTAATCTACATCTTGGATGGCCTAAGGGGGAGTACATTTTCATATTATGATGAACTATTCTTTTAAATAATTCTGATAATATAGTTCCTAACAAACAAAACCTCGCTGTTAAATACTGAATTTCTCATCGGTTCTGATGAAGAAACCAATTAATCTACATCTTGGATGGCCTAAGGGGGGAGTAAATTTTCATATTATGATGAACTATTCTTTTAAATAATTCTGATAATATAGTTCCTAACAAACAAAACCTCGCTATGCAACTAAAATAACAATCCACTATGCTGATACTGTACATTAAAGAGTTGTTATAAAAAAAATTATGTAACTATAAAATAAATATATATGTTTTAAATATTAAATGTTTGAAAATAACTTTTTAAAAAGCGAACCTACCTGAGTATTTTGTGTTCATGGCCATCTGCGTGTAATATTTGACCATGATGTGTGATTTACCTGAACGTAGAAGAAGATCAGAAGAGGCAAGTTTCATCCAGTGGCGGTTCGTCGGGGGAGGCATAATTACTTTTACTAATTTACTTTATGAATTATTACTTTTATGAGTTTGTTGAAAGTGGGGTGGTATAGTTATAGCTCATCAAAGGTAATTGAATGGCTGCCAGTTCAGTTTCTACTGATATCACCACTGTGTTGTAAGTGTGTGAATAAGCATCTGATATCTAAGGGAGCAGATAAACTCGCCCCATCTTCAGGATCAGTTTTCAGACAGGTACAGACATCCAAGTCTTGAACTGCTGGACTAAATGGAACCTACATGGTCTAATCATGTCTTGATAACACAGTAGATGGAGATAGGAGATGGAGAGGTCACAGGTTAATGTTAGTGAAGCAATACTTTGGCACATACAGAAGAGAAAAGAACTGAGGGGAAGTTGGAATAAAAGAGGAATGACTGAAAAATACAGGCCTTATTGGAAGCAACTGCAGCTCCACAGTGAGTGGGTGTGTGTGTGGGGGGGGCATTACAGATAAATAGGTCAAGGATAGCTGTTATCCAACTGTTCCTCAGACAGCAGTCCTGACCTGAAATCTACACAGCACATGATAGAACCACTAGCGGTCTGTCTATTTCTGTTTCACTCATTGTGTCTCCCCATTCCTGCCTCCCCAGACACAAAGATGACGGAGATATTTCATCCATTTGTGCGTCATCATTATAATTATTAATCCAGGTCTGTGTGTACGTATCTGTGAGGGTGCATTCGTGCTTGAGTTTATGGGTGGGTATGTGTGTGTGTGTGCGTATGAATCTTCCCCTATTATTCCCTGTGACTCACTCCCGTCGTGTAAACACACA